CACTATTATTAGCTTTATTGTACATCAATAATAAAAGAAATAAAAAAAATATTGTAAAGCAACGAAGATATTGGATACATCCTATACTTAAATTAAAGCAACAACAAGGAGACTGGCATAATTTAGTTTATGAGATGATTTTACAGAACGATGAAACATACTTCAATTATATGAGAATGACACCTGATATATTCGAGTATTTGTTATCAAAGGTGGGACCTATAATAACAAAAATGAAAACAAATTTCAGAGATCCTATCCCAGCAGCTGCAAGATTAGCAATGACTATTCGGTATGTAAGATAGATATTTTAAATATTTATATTTTTACAACTTCAGATATTTTGTTTTATATAAGTAATAGAATCTAATGTGTACCTGAATACATAAAACTTAGCATAAATGATCGTAATGATCATTTTCAGTTATTTAGCAAGTGGAGATGGACTTCAGAGCATTGCACTAAGTTACCGAACTGGAAGAAGCACAACATCACGTATTATAAAAGAAACCTGTGAGGCTATATGGAATGTTCTACACGTAGAAGAATTATTTACACCAACACAGGACGGATGGCGAGAAATTGCTCACGAGTTTGAAGAAAAATGGAACTTTCCTCACTGCGTTGGAGCTTTGGACGGAAAGCATGTTGCTGTAATTGTAAGATTATATTAATATAAGTATTCATATTAACATAAGATATTTTACAAAGTTGCTAAGAATTAAAATTATTTTTACAGTGTCCTGAGAAAGCAGGAAGTTCATTTTATAATTATAAAGGATTTCATAGCATAGTTTTAATGGCACTCGTAAGTGCCACATATAAATTTTTAATAGTAGATATTGGTGCTCAAGGCAGACACAGCGACGGAGGAATATTTAAAAATTCTGCAATGGGGCAAAGATTTTACAGTAATAATATGGACTTACCTGATTCCTCCAATATTACTACCAGACATACAACTCCATATGTTATAGTAGCTGATGAAGCCTTTCAACTGAATTCATTCACAATGCGACCATATCCTTCAAAGAATTTAACAAAACAACAAAGAATTTTTAATTATAGATTAAGCAGAGCTCGACGAGTTGTGGAGAACGCATTTGGTATACTAACAAGTCGATGGCGTATTTATCATAAACCATTGAATACGAGTCTTGAAACGGCTGATGCAATTGTTAAAGCAACGGTTTGTCTGCACAATCTTCTAATGAGTACGCGTTATTACTGCGGAGACAATTATGGTGATAAATCACTTGAAAATGGACAGCTAATTGAAGGAGAATGGAGGAAAAC